AAAACCCCCAAAAACCCACCGAATGTCCTGCAGGCAAGGACATATCCATATCTGGCAGTGACAACCCACTGGAGCCACGTGAGAGTAATGAGGATAGATGCGATGCCAATGACCGGGAAGTGGCGGAAATATCGCGCTCCACTGACGACAATCGCCTGGCCAAGGACAAGAAAAAGGAACTCGAAAAGGAGCTGCAGGAGCCGCAGGAGCCTTTGTCCGAGGAGCAGACCTTCAAGAAGCAAAAGGTGAGTGTCGGCAACTGGCTTTGGGAGCCCGAGAGCCTGGGAGTCTGGATGCCATGGCAAAATGAAATCCCTGGCAGGGCAGTTAATGTAATTAGGCTGTCATGAGTTGGGTCTAGCAGGTTTTAATGGTATTAGAGTCCGGGTCTGTCTGCTTCACTACCTGCGACTGGGTCGCCTGCTAAACTATTTAGAGCAACAGGATTAGGCGGCCTGCTTTATGGGAAATGTTTCATTGTCTGAGTGAAGGGGCAGAAAAATATTCTACCACCTCTTCTATAGTGTGTTTTTTCCTCTCTTAGATGATTTGCTATAGGCTTTGGTAGGCCTTGATTAAATATTAATACTTGTTGATGAAATTTATATGAGGAAGGTTAGTGGAAGATTGAAAAGCATAAATTAAAGGGTATTATTTTCGATCATAAAATTGTATTGCAACCTGAAAAAGTATTTAAAGAACATAACGCCTTTAAACATGTATTTGTTTAAATGACAAAAATGTTTAAATTCTTGTTTAGCTTTAACATTCTGATATAATTGTTGCTAGATTTTTTATCAGAAACCATAAAAAGAATCCTATAATATTTTAGCCTTAATTTAAATTTGTTATACCTCTGAGCTTAAAACAAATCAACAAAGCCATAAATTATGCCTGAGTGAGAATATTTTAAATTGAAAGAGTGTGCTGCCTTAGAATGTACATTCTCATTAGTTAGCTGTCTTTGCGAAATAACTATCCCCGAAAATGCTCTACTGCCTGATTTATTTCTATTTGGGGAAAGCAGCTTTAGTTTGTATAAAGAGTTTGTGCCACGACGCAAAAAAAAAAACAAGGCGGACATTCTGCAAGGCATCAAACTATTCGGTTGAGTACCGAAGTCAGTTTTTATTTGGACATGCCTTAAGCTATGTTATCCAGCTGCGGGCAGCTGGACCTTCTCTTTTAAGCTTTTTGAAGCTAAGACCACCCCCCACACAACTCTAACCCCCCACCCAACAATCCTGTCTTCGCTTCGAGCTGCGTGTCCACAAATCAAATTAACTAAAATGCCATTTGGTTTTTGTCTTTTTCTACTTGCAGCATAATGTGCGCTTCCAAACGTAGTTAGTTAGCTTTAATCGAGTTTAAATTTTGATAAATTGCCAACAGCAAGTTATTTGTAGCGTTGTGCCCAAGATGTTTCTCTAGTTGAATAATAAAGCCCTGGCAGCGGCGTGCGGCAGGGGAAAAATGCAGAAACCAAAAGACAATTAGTAGGCACCAAGTGGAAAGCCCTTCAACATTTTTTCCCATCTCTTTTTCTCCCCCATGGCCCTCAATTTTTGGTTGTTTTTTTTTTTTTTTTTTTTTGCTCCTGTTTTTGTTTTTCCTCCGTGTGGGCGTGTGCACTTTCCGCCCGTCTGTTTGGTTTTGCTAGAGACACGATGTCATTGAGGAGCTCGAGGAGCATTTGGTGCGCAAAAACAATCCCCGGCGGTCGAAACGGGCCTTTGGGCCATTGGTCCCATCCTCGGAGCGTCCGCTGGTCCTTCCCGGCGGTCGGCGCTGGTACCGTCCCAAGGATGCCTACAACGATGAGTTCATAGCCGAGACCCTGAGCGCCCAAGCGGAGCTCATCACGGGCAGCACTCTCGGGTGGGTAGAGTTCCCTGGATAACGTACCCACACTCTCTTCCCCTTCGCAAACAAAAACCCCCCCTGCTAGTTGGCAATGTTTGGCCATGTTTGGCGTGGCCAGGCCCTCATCTCATCTCACGTCATCGCATTGCCCGCAAAGCAAACACTGGCACCGAGAAAAACTCCACCAAAGCCTCCATTTACCATTTTTAGTCACATTATTATCTCAAAATAGGTAAATCAAATACATCATCTTCTATTATCTTTAATTCTGTAAAGATTTTTTCAGACACAGAGTACATAAAAAAAGGAAAATGCTTAATAAAAGAAAAATACATTCTACAAATACAAAATAACAATGAAAATATATACAAAACCTACTTGTCATGTAGTTTTCCTTTTTTAAACTTTTCCTCTGTTTGAAAAAAAATAAATTGTCTCACGATGAAAGATTGGAAGAAAATAAAATTTGATTATTGCATTGCACTTGACAAAATCATGACTGTATTTATATAGAAGTGTTTTATGCATTACATAGCATTAAATATGACCATTTGATTTAGACAAATTAAATATATTTGAATGAAATTAAAGTGATTACAGAAAGGATTTAAAAAAAATTATTTTTTAACTTTTAAGCAATTATTAAATTTGTTGTTATTTTAATTTAGTCCATTTAAAAGTTAAACAAAATGAGTTAAAATTTATATTACTTGTCAATAATGTCAATAGTTAAATATTTATTTTTACTCTTCCATTTTTTTCATCAGAGAATACTCAATTCAATTCCCTGTATAGATGGGTATATAGTGACAATTTTTCTCAGTGCCCGTGCAGCCAGTTCATCAAAAACCATAACGTTAGCTCATCGCAGGCATTCATTTTCTTCACTTCTTCACTTTTCCATGGGCACTCACTCGCCTCGACTCTTTACATCGTCCACTGCACCATAAATTTGCGCATTAGCAGCTGTCCGTACGAGAGCCCGTTGTTGGGCTACGATTCCAGGTAGTGTTTCATTTGGCTTCGCTTGATGAAGTGCCCCGGATGTACCAGAAACTAATCCACAACCAGAAACAGAATCAGAACCCATATATACGTAGCACCTAGCAGTGTCATTATGATTATCGTTGGCATTATCGTTGGCATTACTAGACCACTTGTGCATTGCCATACTCATCCTGATTCGCACTCGCACTCGCATTCGCATTCGCATTCACATTCGAATTCTCATCCGTCTGTGTGTCCTGTCACAAGGCTTGCAGTTGATTTGACTTTCGTCGTGCGTTCCGGTTGAGTTCTTTATGCATGCCGCCCGCCGCCCTTTGCTCTTGGATATATTTTCTCCTTGCTCTTTGCCTTCTGATTTTCATTGTAGATTGCATTTTGGAATCGTTTGTTCAATGGCGAGCATATAACACGCCAGCGCTTCAGGTAAGTTTTTTTTTTCCGAGCGCCGTGTTCCGAATTTCCCCCCATCCTCACATCTCGACTCTTTAATGAGGCTAACAACTTCTCTTTACTTTTGCTTTTGCTTTTGCTCTGTGTGTGTGTATATATTTGCCCGCCCTTGTCTTGTACTTAACCAATGGGGAAAACGGACTGCACTCGACTCCCGATTCACCAGGGAGCTGCAGGGTCTCAGTCTCGGCCTGACCATGCAAAAGTAAGTTGTCACATTGGACGTTTTGTTCTTTGTTCTTATGTTCTCCGGTTCATTGCATGCATATGTACGGTGCTTCTGGTGCTTCTGGTTCTGGTTCTTGGTCCCGGGAGCACTGCACTGCACTGCCCTGCACTGCACTGCACTGCACTGCCCTGCACTGTACATTCCCCTCCAAGTTGCGTTCGCTATTTTCAATTTAATGGTGACTCCTTCGACCGTTCGCAGGGTCAACTTTATGAAGTACCAGAAGCCGGAGCGCAAAATCGATCTGAATCGCAGCGAGGTGTACAAGTATCTCAATCCGCATCTGGACAGGGCGCCCGTGCGAGGCATCGAGGTGCGTGCCCCGCTGGTGGCCGCCGAGTCCGACATTCGCCAGTCGCTGCAATCGTAGGAATGTTGTACCACCACCCCGAATGTTCAACAACACCCCACTCCGCAGCCAAGACCACAGCTGCACTGAGAAAAAAACCCTATACAAATAGGATTTTTTTTAAGGTAAAAGTGGAACACATTCTTAAGTTTGGCAGAGAAGCGTTAATAGAGTTTCTAGCCGTCACAAATGGATACAAAATAGAACAAGTTTGTTAAAAAGTGTATGCAAATCTTAAATTAATTTTATTTAAGCTCACGCTTGGGTAAATCCCTCTAAATTATTTCTTGCGTAAAAACAATTTCACAATAACTATATTTTTTCATAAATATACCAACTTTTAAATATATCTTTCATCTAAGCAATTTAAAAAGAATTTGCTCAGATCCTTCCTTTGAAATGAAATAATAATCAATCAATCATAAATGTGGTGGACATAAACTGCTTTGATATAAATATGGCCCCATAAATATATATATTTTCGTATAAATATTTTCGTATAAATTTGTAAAACGCTTCTCTGCTGATTTTTGGGATGCTAAAAAAAATCCACATATATCCTAGAATAGACAAGCATATTTCTGTTAAAATATATAAATCCATATATTAAGAAAGCTTCAGCTTGATTTTTTAAGGGGTTTCCATCCTGGATGAATTGCAAAGATTGCAATATTGCAGTTTGGTTCTTGAATTGCTGTGCTCATTGAACTTTGAAGATGGGAATGTATAAATTTATTCGCAAATTGGCCTCCCCCAGTGCACTCGATTATCGGTTTAGAAGCTCAACGAATATAACCATCAATATGCTAACAGAAGCCGAGGAGTTCGCTACCATTATGGAGCGGGGTCGCCTAATGCGATATTACATAATTTGTGTGCAACAAGGCGTATGTGTAATGTGTCGTGTGCATTTCTGTGGCATATCCTCAGGCGCTGGCTGTTGCAATTTTCTTTAGCACAAACATAAAAACGACGCGCTGCCCTTGTGTATGCTTGTGTGTGGGAGAGTGTGGATGACAAGCTCTTCGAATTTGCATTTATTATGGCAAATGAATTGGGTGGCAACAAAAAAGTGGCAAATGACATGGCAAAATGGCAAACAGGCAGCAGCAGCAGTAGCAGCAGTAGCGGCCAACCACCGCAATAAACCCGTATTTAGTTACGGCACAAACACTCGCGTCACGGCCAAATCAAAATTGTTGTCACGTTATGATGAAAACCGGGACGAGCGGATGCGATGCGCACATTTCACTTGCCCCAAACAGCGTGGAACAGCCGGAATGATGAGACACTTTACTTTTTGCCGGAGCAATAAAAACGCGCCAACTTGAGGAAGTGTGCACGAAGTACGGATATTCGTCAAAGGCGCGTATTTTGCGAGCATCCAAAAAATCCGGGAATCGTATAATCCGTGCCGTGCGATTCGCATGGACGCTCGTCTTGGACTGTCACAGAGGATTGGTGTTATCATTGCACTGGTCACAGAGCAGCGCTTCGAGTCGAGCTCGTCAATTTTTGGGACAGCTTTCGAGTGGGGCAGCTTTTGAGCGTTTTTCTGAGAGTTTTCCGAGAGTTTTCCCGCCGAGCTTTGAGCGGAAAATTCCTATACGCACAAGCGAACCAGCTATCGTCCAGCTGCTGGGGGGCATATCACTCTTGGTTGGGTTAGGGCAGGTCCTTTCAGGTCGCGAAAGGTGAAAATGCCGGAATGTCGGAAATAAAATTAAGATTTGTTCAACTTGTTGGCTAAAAGTTTGACTCGGCTAATTTGTATGCTTAATTGCCAAGCGCCATTTACACTAAGCTACGCGCATCGCTTTGAAGTCGCTAATTCGATTGGAATCGCTTAAAAGGGTTTAGTTTGCCCTCTAATTGGAAAACGTTATAAAGTGTCCTAGTATAAAATTGTAAGATCTAAGGAATTTAAAGTTTCTAAATTGTATACCTCTTAATGATATGGATTTAATAAATTTACGTTTAAATTAGTTTTTATTCCTTTCTTTTTGATTTTTTAAAATGTAAAAATTTATTTTTATTCTTACTAGTAAAGATAAGATTTGCATCTGATCTGCAGAAAAAATAATATAATCTTCATCAAGATAATTATTATTTGCCTTTGGCTAAAATGTAGACGTTAGGTATTTTTGAACATTTTATAAAAACATATTAATAACAAATGTTTCAATTATCTAACCTACGTACACAAAATTGGATTTAGAGTATTTGGTTCAGTTTTTAAAAATTTTATAAAAGTACCTTACGATTGTCCAAAAATGTGTTTCGAACTAATTTGGTTTTGTCTACATAATTAGTCAACTTACTAATCTGATCTGCAGCAGGAAAATATAATCCTCAGCCAAGATAACTTTTACTTGCCCAATATCTAAGAGTAAGAAAAATCTAAGTTGTGTTATCCCAGCTTTGATTGGCTAAAGAGATTGTTTGGTGATAACGATCCGTTCTTTGAGCACAAAGTAAAACACGTGTTCTTTAAATTTTAAATTTTTATTTGAATTTTAATAAACAATACTAGACAACAACTACTTAGAAGTAAGTACAAGTTCATACATACAAGTTACATAAAAATAGTTTGGGTTAGGCTCTCAGCTCGACGCTGCTCCGAGCGAATAATCTTTGAAATGTACTATATTGTGTATGCGGTGTATATATATATAGTCATGTATAAGTACAATGTGTTTGTGTGGCTTTGCTTGTGTTTTTTGTGTGTGTTTCAATAACCTGACTACATTTACAAAGAAGGCAAACTTACAGCGGCCACTTTGCACGCAGAGCATTCACTTTAAAAGGAAGCTCCGGCGCTGAAGTGCATACAACAAATTTGTTATAAACAAATTGTCTGTTGGATCTTAGAGGGGGAGTTTTTGTGTGTGTTTGACACTAATTATCACTACGCCAGTTGAAGTTAAATAGTTTATGGGCTTGTCTTAGTTTTCCCAGCTGGGATTGCTTCGATTTGATAGGTCTAAGCCAAGTTTATAATAGTTTTGTGTATATGCAAATGCAATTATTGCTAATAATACATGCGAAAACCCAACTGAATAAATAACTCTGTTTGTTTCTTTCGTTGGTTTCTTTGTGTGTCATGCAAATTTGTGACCCTCCTTTTCGCGGCAAGGATGGATATTTGTCTAATTCTGACATGTCAGAGGTAACGATTTCAAATTTGATAAACCATCAATTGATTCTGTTGGCCTCAAAAATGTTCTTTGTTCTCTGCTCCAAATCACCCTGGCTAATAATCTAATTTGTCTCTTGATTTCAGTTGCAATTTAGGTACACGATTCCGCTTTCTTCCGCAGCATGCAAACCATTATACAAATATGTATATCGGTCTATATGCAACGCATGGTTCAGGTGTGTTTATATGTGGCTTGTCTCTAAATACTAATTGCAGGTAGTTCGTTAACGCTTTCACACCAGAATTTCGCAACAAATATATCGTATTTATATTTGTATTTGTATTTGTATTGTTTTAGTTTTGTTTTTCTTCGCTTTTGCTCTTGCTATAGTGATTTTGTTTTGAGGCCATCGTAAAACGTGGCTTGGCTTTAATACTTTTAATCTAACACTAATTAAGTTGCAGCCAAACAAACAAACTCTAGGCTGGTATATTGGTTTGTTCATAGAAATCGGGCTCATCATCGTCGTTCTTTTTCATCTCGCTGCCATCCAACTAAATGGGATAAGACCATTAATTATAAGTCACTTGAAGTTGTAATTAAAATAAATTACCGCTTGCATTTCCTCCGGCTTATAGAACTTGCTCAAGTTCTGACGTATGGGCACCATCATGATCAGGAAGAAGGGGAAGGCCAGCGAGAACTGCGATGACTTCACGCTCCACAGGAGCACGAGACACAGCACCTGGATGGTGGTGAACAGATGCAACTTCCAGGGACGCAAACGCTTCACATATGGTGTGGGAGGATAATGCTTGACAGGCATGAAATACAGTCTTATTCTGTGGATTAAAAAGGGTTCATCATAAAACTGATTGTTAAGTGTAAAATCAATGAACTTACCGCTCAAACAACTGCACTCCGCTCATGGAGGCCACACCCATGTACAGAAAGACTCCGAAGAGCACGGCCATGGGAATGAGTCGCAGGAGTGGAGCCATCAGCACCGACAGACCAATCATCAGGCACACAAAGAAGCCGGACAGACGCTGCTCCTTCACATCAACGATCCTGGGCGATTCACCAGGAGCATGGGTGCTGTTCCGGAGAGATCGAATCTATTAAGTAAGCTCTTGCTAAGCAGGACTCCTAGTCAAACTCACCGTGACATAATGGTGACGGAGGACACATGGGTCACTGATCTCACAGTGGCAGCGCAATGCCAGGGCATTCCAAACAGTCCGCAGGCGGAGTTGAGCAGGCACAGCAGCACAATGTCCCAGTGCAGGCCGGAGCCCTTCTTTAGACCACGATCCGGCTTGTCCACAATCAGCTCGGAGATTTGCGACTCCATGAAGATGAGGATGTAGACCAGCAGGGCGGGCACTACGCAGGCAAAGGGTATCCACGTGGAGGAGGTATCGAAGCCGATGTACCAGCCACGCTTTAGGGGAGCACTGGGCGACAGACCCTCCGGAACCACCAGCTTCTCCGTGTAGACAGCCGGCACCAGGTAGTCCACCAACACGAAAATCGCAATGGAGATGGGCACACCGAAATCGCCAAGGGCACGACGAGCATTGCGACCCAAGAAGTGGGAATTGCGGAAGAGCTTCAGGTAGTAGGCGACCACAAAGGTGGCCAGTGTGAGGATGGTGCAGAATAGAGCGGTGTTCGGTTGATTCCTGGGCAGCGGTGCTGGCAGCAATGGCATGGCCGTCGTCGAGACATTCGCCATCATCTGGGTGATGTTCGCCGTCACAGCAGCGGTCGCGTTGAAGAGACTTCCATTGGTGGCATGGTCGTGGGCAACCAGCGTCGGCGGTGGCAGATTGTAGTCAGCCAGCAAAGGATTTTCCTTGTAGATCGAAATCAATTTCATAAACGTTTCCACAATATAGATGAGCGTGATCAGTGCCGAGAAGATCTCCTGGGTGAATCGCGTGAGCAGGCGGACGTACACACTGCCCTCGAAGGCGGAAACCGTCAGGGCTATTATAATCAACCATATGCCCACGTAAACCCTCAGGGACAGGAAATCAAACTCATGTTTCGTACAAAACACCATGAGTGCCTCGTCGAAGAGTAGGAGTGGTCCAGTGGTTCCGATGATCACGAGCGGTTGGCACGACAGGCAATGGAAGACGATGCCCACCAGGGAGCACGAGATCAGCGTCTCCGAGATGCCAATCCAGCTGTCTGTTTTGGCGGAAACGAGACCGCCGAACGTGATGGCGGTCGAGAGGCAGGCGAAGTACATGAAGATGGTGGCCGCCAGGGTTTCCGTGTTCAGACCATCCAGAATATCGCTCTTGTACATGGGCATTCGGCGCTTCAAATCGTTTCGCAGTCCGCCCCACAGACGGCCCGTCTTCTCCAGCGGACTGGACTTCTTCTTCTTTTTATCATCCTCATCATCGGAGCCGCCATCACCGCCACCATCACCGCCGCCAATCGTAAATCCAATGGCTCCCAGCGTCTGCTTCTCCAGCAGTGCCTTCTCCTCATCCTTGCCGATCTTGATCATCTCACTGTCTCGCTTCACCTGCAGCGCCTTGATCTTCCGGGTGCGGATCCAATCCTTCTTGGCCTTCAGCTCCTCGAAGGGCAACAGATCGTGGCGATCCCAATTGCCGGGCGGCAAGACAATAGAATCATCCAGGAACTCATTGATGGCCGACAGCAGATCCTTGCGATCATCGGCCTTGTAGGCAATTGAGTGGAAGTGCTCGTTGGCCATCAGCGTGGAGATGGAACGACCCACTTCATGGTAGTCCAAGTCGAAGTTTCGGGGTCCCAGGAGCACAAACATGAATCGCACGGGCACTGGAACCTCCGTCAAGGTGGGCATCAAGACACCCTCCGACAGACGGACAAAGGCAATCGTCGGCTGCTCCAAAAACTCCACGGCGCCAACCTTTCAATTAAAAGTATCACATAATTAATAAACATAAAGATTAAGTTTAAATGGAGACTGGAGAACCTACCAACACAGTGGTGGCCTCAGCACCAGCTGGAATCCTCTTGAGGATCGTGTCGTTCTGCAGCTTCTTGAGATCCTCCTGCGACGAGGAGTACATATCGTCCTTCATGTCGATCTTGAGCTCATTGCTGCGCTTGCTGCCTCCAATCTCATTGGCCGGCATTATCCTGATCTTCTTGTCATCCGGCACGCCCGACAAATTCTGTGAAGCATTTCGTAAATAAGTCATTAAATTGGATCCTATATATTAGTTTATTTTCTGGGGAACATCAAGCAAGCTTCACATGCAAAGCTGGTGCCAAAACAC